CTTTACCTAAGGTTTTTTTTTAAACAAATTATAACAAAAATTTGCTCCAGCTTTTGCTGAAAGGTAAATAAAAACTCTATGTACATTTTTGGCGCATAATCTCAAAAATGCCAAATATTGAGTTGTGACTCTTTTGAAGACGGTGTGCGATATGTAAATGAAAAAAGGCGTTGGCCGTGCACGGTTGGCACTGTTAGAGGGTGTGTACGTTAAAAACTGTGCATTTTTTAAGGCGAAACCAGTTTTGGAAGCTTTTATAAATACAAAAGCGCAACTTAAATCGAATTGGCGCTTTCCTCGTTTTATTACAAATTATTAAAATACGTAGATTTTTTTAAAGCATTTTGAATTACCATTAATGATTTTTAATTATACATAAGCACGATACTTGTATTCTGCATTGTTAATTGATCGGTTAGAAGACTTATCAGAAACTAATTTGTCTATAAAAAAATAATAATAATATTTTGTCGCTAAACTCTTGCATAGTGTTTGGCCGAGCTTCTACTCCAAGTTGTGGTGTACGCCCTTAAGTTAAAATACAAATGGACGGACCTAGAATTTTGTCGCCGCCTCCGAGTGGAAAACGGTTTTCTGATAAGCTTTTTCAAGGCAGAAATACTTGTACAATCGAATGTATCTTCAATTTAGATATTGCTTTAATTTATAAAACTTGTTTGATAAATAAAAATATAGTAAAAATGATGCCCGAAGAAAGGAAGGAGCGATTCTACCTTACTATGTTCTTATCATGGTTTCTAGTGAACGCGTTCCAGTTTTGGTTTAGTTCTACACGAGAACCAAATATAATGTCCAAAACATCACCACAAAAGACCCAAATGGGAACAAAACTCTCGTAAACATTCTCAAAACGAACAACGTGCAAACAAAACTCTCGAGAACGTTCTGAAGAAGAATATAATGAGAAAAAAACTTTTGGAACGTTTCCGATGAGAACAAAATAAGAACGAAAGTATCGAGAACCTTTTCAAGGCGGATCACATAAGACCACAAAAGTGAGAGGGGCATCTGCGTATTTTGATGGAAAATCGTTTCATTGAGAACCACGATAAATGAAAGCTAGATCATTTCAACTTTCAAATCGTGCATCGTTAGGGTGAACTGTCCATTTATGGAACAATTTTTCATTTGCTGTGCAAGAAAAGTTCCTCTCTTAAGTCTTTCGTTTACTTTATTTTTTCAGTTCTTTTTTGATAAATTTTAATATTCAAACATTTCAAACTAATGGAAGCTAGAAGAGGAATTTTGTTCTCGGTTACTTTCTTCGCGAATAAATCAGAGAGGACTTATTCCCAATTCGTTTTGTGTCAGAAAGTTGCTGAGACTCTGGTTCCCAAATTGTTTTTCGAGAGAATGTTTCTTAAACTTTTGTTCCCGTTTTGTTCTCATAGAAACGTTCCCGAAAGTATTGCTCGCATTTTGTTCTCTTAGGTAACGTTCTTGGGAACAACTACGAGAAAGACGTTTAGTTTCGATCATAGCTGTTGCACTCGGTCTCTGGCTTCTAAATTTTCTGACACAGTTTGAGTTTGAAATTTTTTTCCATAGGATGTTGCACATATTTCCCATATAAAAAAAAAAAACATTCGCTACATGGAAAAAATTAGAACAGGCCGCCAAAAAAATTTCGTAAATCCCGAAGATCTTTGAGCCGCTTCAAACTTGCACTTTATTATACCATAATTAAATGGGCCATTAAACGGCATACGTGAAATTTTCTTAAATTTTTTATTAAAACGTTTAAAATTTTTATGATAGTTTGATATTTTGTTTAGTCTTGTACGAAGTTTTAAACTTTTATTTTTAAGGTGTTTGTTGCAGTCTGAACTATATTTTTAAAGTAAACAAATTTTTTTTATTAATTTATAAAACTCTACCAAATTTTCTTAAAATAGTGGCGGTAATGTGTAACAGTATACTTATTCCTTTTCAAGACTAATAATAAAAGTACATCACTTTGTTATATATGTATATTCTTCATACATACAAAATATCCAGCTACTGTCACATAAGTCTTATATTTACATGTATCGGTTTCTGATAAAAATGTTATCAAGATCATATATGCTATGCAAGTATTTATGTATGTATCTCAGAGAAATTTCAAATATGTACCAACTGCATCTTTCCATCCACAAGTTTGTTAATCTATTTCAGTGGTTATAATAAATTTTTCTGTCAGGTTTGACAGCTATAACGCTAACATAACTTTAAACAACTATGACATGAATCTAAACAAAATATGCGAGTTGAAAGGTCGGCTATACGGATGACGTCAAGAGGAAAGGAATTCAGTTGGAACGAATGGCGTGCAAGTGTGATTATAGAAATTAAATGCCTAAAAAATGTCTGATGTGAGATAACAGAAAGACAGTAGAGTTTTTCATTTCAACAGGTTCATTAGCAAATTTTTTACACAAATCCTATGACAGCAAAAAATGTATATCTATATAAAAATATATAATTAACGTGAGACATAACAATATTTAAAAAAAATACGCAATTGTACCTACTATTTTTTATCTTTTCTACTTATAACACTACTAAAAAGAAAGAAAATTAAGAAAAAAATTTATCATATGATTTCAAAAGATTTTTTATTGGTCCCCTCATTGCATTTTCTGTGGTTTTTGGCGGACCTATAAAATACAGTTACTATAAAAAAATGATTAAGTAAATAATTGGGTATTATTATTGGGAATCTCTTGAAGAGAAACATAGTTTTCTGATCGAAACTTGGAAAACTTTGAGCGCTTTGAGTGACCTCTAAATACTTTTTGATTTCAGAATATAAAAATAGGGGTGAGAGCATAAAATTTCCGACTTAACTTTTTCACATGCAGTTTTGAACCACCCTAATATACATGCGTATGCATGTATGATTTTTGAATATTTCTAACATGGCTGCGAAGATGTTTGGCCATTCATATCAATGGTTTGAGGAATCGTTTTGTCTTCACTTTGTTTTTTTTTTTTTGTAGCCCCCAAAATGTATTACAGTTTTTGTCATGTGCCGCAATGCCATTGTTATTTTTTATATACACGCATACATAGGCGTGTATAAAATTTTTGTAGAAAAGTTCATGATTTTAAATAAAAAGTTATCTACTCAAGTCGGATAACCTCGTTTTTTTATCGAAAATTTTTCCTTGGAAGTGGATATATTTATCTATGTATGCTTTCAAATTAATAAATAATTTCTGGTAAACACTTTAGTATCAATCTGATAACGAGAGCAGTACATAAGTATAAAGCTTCGGCTTTGCAAAGAGCGTTTTTTTTGTTAGCATGTATTCGCTTGTCTACGTTCTTACAATTAAATTTATTTATCTTGTAATTTTTTCTTTTTTTTTGTAGAAACTTTGGTAAGTTTTCCAATAGAATGTTCATATTTGAGGCAATGTACGTTGACATCAAATACAACATATTTGCGCAAAATTATCATATGTTACAAAAACGAAATTTTACAATTAATCTAGTCTGTAAAATAATTAAAGTAATAGACTTAAAATAAATGAAATTAAAAACTGTATAGCTAAGATAAATTTTAATATTTTTTCCGAAATATTTTTTGGCAGAAATCTTAAAATAAAATAAGTTTTGTGATGTTACCGGTTTTTTGGTTGTGCACCCTTATATACATACATACAGGCATATGCATCTGCTGATGTACGTATGTGTACCTCTGAGTTTTTAATCTAATTAACTTTTCTTCTCTGCATAATGATATCGTCATCACATAAATAAAAAAAAGTAGCTCTGTGAGTCAGAGGCTTTGGTTAGATTCTAACTCGGCTAAAAAAGATTTTGTACGCTCTAGTCTAAACAATGCAATCAATGTACGTACATAGGTATGAATTTACACAACGTCATGCCTTACCAACCTAACTGACTTACTAGACGACTTGCTGCGTGCCATTAAGACAGGCTGTCCATCTTAAACGCTGATTTTAGGTACTCATAAACGTTTATCTATGACAAATATGTATGTTTATACCTAGCTAAAGGAAGCGATCACCAACGGAGTAGGCTTGAGTGATGGCTGCAACAAGAGGTATGCATATGTATGTACTTACATACATATATACAAGTGCACATGCACACAAATGCTCTGTACATGCACGTACTGTTAAGTGTCATTTAGAGTAAGAGATACTGAGCAAATGCACGCACTTACATACATATGTATGCATATAGATGACTTCAAATATATTTACAAATAAACACTCTTATCTACAAGTGTATATACATACTTATGTATGTAAAGATGTGAATACTCGCATATCTTATATTCATTGATGCATGCATATGTACATATGTACATATTAATATATGAGCTAGATGAAAGTGAAAACTTTCCTTTAAACACTGGACCACACTTCGCATCTAGTCAGTCTCATTTTGTGCACGCAACGTGACCATATTTCGGCAATAAAAATTAAATTAAATTAAATCAATTACAAATTACAAATTACGTGTAGTGCATTGGACTCCACTAATACTGCGCTGAGATGCAATTAAAAAGTAAGGAAGTAAGGATTACACAGACTCGGCTAGCGTAAGAGTAATTCGCTTGAAAGTGCAGTGCGAAAAGGATATTATCTTTACCAATGTTTCGTAAATCTAACAATACGTTCACTTAATCTTCTGCGCGAAACCTTCACTTGTAGCTTATCTACAACCTTCTAGAACCTTGCTTTCATCATGAGTTGACGCCGTGCAGTGCTGCTCATTCACTACGCTCAGCCTGAGTTCGTGGACACAAATTCAACGATTTTCTGCCCTTAAATACGCTATTGTGTACAGGCTATATATACTACATTTTCATATACATTTATTGATAAGCATTTGCTTATTTACTTACAGAGCAGATAGTTAATTGTATACAACATTGTATTTACATACATACTCATACGATAACTCATATTTATACGCTAACTAAATACTTATTCTTTTGGGTTTTTTCTTTCTATTTACAGCTCCGGCTATCGGGACGAGACATGTGCAATGCTTCTTGTGTTTTTGTTGCCTATCAATTTGCTATGCGTTACGCGTCAACCTTAGCGTGGGTATTGTTGCGATGACAGACCGAAATTCAACGAATAGCGATCTTAAGGTGAGTGAGAATTGCATTGAAATTGATTTGTACGTATTTTAGAATGATTTTTCATCGTTCATTGTCAAGTTTGTTGTGTCGAAATCCTGGAGATACTGGCACAATGACGAATGCGTTTTGACTCCAAAGCAAGCTTGACAATTCATTCCCTAATTTCCTACATCTTACCCTGTGGAAAAAATCAACCCACATCAACAACTACCTACATAGTTTACGAAGTGTTTGGCATAGCTTCTTGTCCACTTTTGGCCTGGTGCTGTCACAAACATGGATAGACCTATAGTTTAACGCCGCCTACAAATGGCTGATGGTCTTTTGTGAGAAGCTTTTGCATGCCAGAAATGCACTCAGCGGTTTCCATTGTCTGCCGAGGAGCAACTGCAATTAGAAAAAAACTTTTATAACGGTCGGACCGGGATCTATTCTGAGTCCTAACGAGTGGTAGCATGCACCTATTACCACTGAGCTACGGCGGCCGCCTTTACCAACACACCAACAAGTAATTTCGGAAATATAAGTCCAATCCCTTACGAAGTTTCTAGCTAGAAGTGGCTACCCACATATTCTCCTGCCATGCCTTTAATTATCACTGTTCCCCAAATGCCTTTTAGTTGCTCACTCCAAGTCTTTTTTTCCTAGAATATTGATTGACTCATGCAAGCTATTTAAAACTTGTTTAGCGAATATGCTACACATCGAAGCGTACATATGCTTCATATTTTCCAGAAACCACTTCTTACCTAAGCAGACCTAAAATAAGTACACATAGTCTCTTAAAAGGTCAAAGGAGATTCGCCAAAAAATGTGTATCTCAATCAAAACGATTTTGGGTAAGTACGATGCTATCTACATTTCACTTGGATTAGCAACAAGTGATTTGAAGACCATTCCTTGACGATTCCGTCAGGAAACTCACAGACAAAATAATATCAAAATTAAGTTTCAATAAGCTTGAAAGGGACCCTTGATGAGAGTCAATAACCACGATTGGCAAGTGGTTCCAAATCTGTTATACTTATGAATACAAGCATTTGGATCGCGGTTCCAAAAAAGGTGCACGAAAGGACCCGAACAGAAAAATACCCTAGCCCTATAACCGTCTGAGCTAATACCTATCGAAGCTGAAACCGACATACCAAATGAGTGTTCAGCATGTGGACAACAACAATTTCTTCACATGCCCACTCAAGCCTACTCAGCTAATATCCATCTTTCTCTCTCTCTTTCTCTGGTCCAACCCCGTCGAAACGGCACATTTTCTGGTCGTATCGTTAGTTTAGCTTGACGACAAGCACAATGAACAACCCGACTTAGGCGGGGCTTAGTAGTGCCATCACAAAAACAACTCAAATATATTTCAAGCGGAAATCTTTGTGATTGAAATATGTGATGGTAAATTCTTCGTAGAAGGTTAATTGTCATGCCTAACTGTGAGGCTCATGCAAAACTAAATCAAGCTTTGTGGGCAACTTCAAACTCACCTGAGGAAGGCGTTGGGAGCATGGAAAGTGCTAACGCTTTAGTAACATGTGGGCCCAACGGAATCTGTATAGCTCACAGTTTCGGAGCCTTTTCCAAAGGATATACGAAAGAACTTTTAAGAAATTCGAAACATTCTTAAGTCGCCGCCTAATGACAAGCAGCAAGAAACAATCCAAGTGGGAGAGGTTCTTTTTAGAGCAGTTTCTGTTGATCGGTAGACCACTTATCAGAACTGATGCTTTTAGATAACAATCCGTCGAAAGGACATAGGGTACGTAAACACTGCCTCCTGTGTGTAAATACATAGAAATGAATATTATTTAGATATGCAAAATAATTTGGTAAGCTCAGATCTATTTAGAAAATTAGGAGGTCCCCGGCATAACAATGATCCATTAGTCCAACTTTTTCTAGGCATGAAAAATCTAGCGCAGAAAAAGTCATAATGCTTGAGTAAACTTTCTTTCTTTTTGCCCAAATATTTTCTGTAAACTGAATAGTAAGCTTCACTGCAACAATTATGCGAAGGTTGTCCTTTACTTTGCCGTTACTTTTCTTCATATAAATCCTCCTCTGACTACAAATAACATATTTTTCTACACTTGTAGGATTTCTTTACGTTCTTCTTACCTTCTCGAAAACGATCTCTAACCATACATTTCTTTTCCAGGTCTACGACTGGGATGAGGGCACCAAATCGTATGTGCTTAGCAGCTTTTTCTGGGGCTACATCATTACACAAATACCTGGTGGACATATTGCACAAAAATACGGCGCCAAAACACTTCTGCTCATCGGCATCACGCTCTGTTCTGCATTAACGCTACTCACTCCTTTGGCTGTTAAAATTGGCGGTTGGCAATTACTTTTCGCACTACGCGTCGTACAAGGACTGCTGCAAGGTTCGGTGCATCCGGCGACACACGCTATGTTGGCCAAATGGGCGCCTGTTGATGAACGTGGCGCGCTCAGCACCTTTTGTTATTCGGGTTCGCAATTCGGCACTGTAGTCGTCTTGGCCATAAGCGGTGTAATTGCTGAATCCTCACTCGGCTGGCCTGGTATTTTCTACATCTCTGGCGGTTTGGGCATCGTTTGGGGCATTTGTTGGTTCTTCTTCTCAGCCAGCACGCCGGCGGAACATAAAACGATCTCACTAGAGGAGCGTAAATACATAGAAAACTCGTTGGGTCAAGTTGATTCGACGCCGCGCACAGTTGCGCCTACGCCATGGGTGAAGATCTTCACCTCACCGCCATTTCTATCGCTCATCATTGTACACTGCACGCACATGTGGGGCTTCTGGACGTTGCTAACACAAATTCCCAACTACATGAAGAATATACTGGGCGTGGATATGAAAAATAGTGCGTTGCTATCGTCGTTACCCTATGCCGTTATGTGTTTGCTGAGCTTCTTCTTCATCTACCTGTCCAAGGTGTTGGCGCGTCGTGAGAACGTATCGCTCTCATTCAATCGCAAATTCTTCAACTCAATCGGTCACTGGATACCAATGATCTCACTCATCGCATTGGGCTATGTCACGCAGGAACATGCCATGCTCGCTGTTGTGCTGCTTACGCTCACCGTCGGTATCAGTGCTGCCACATATCTGGGCTTCCAGGTGAATCACATCGATCTATCACCAAATTATGCGGGCACGCTGATGGGCATCACCAACGGCTCAGCGAATGTGATGAGCGCGCTAGCACCGCTAGCCGTGGGGTTGGTTGTCACCGATGTGGTAAGTTTTGGGTAAAGGTTTTGCTTGAATTTGCACAGTGTATTAAAAATTACACTTTTCCACTTGCAGACAAATGCGGCCGACTGGCGCACTGTGTTCTTCATTGCGGCAGGCTTCTACTTTGTAGGCAATTTGCTTTTTGTCATATTTGGCAAAACTGAGGTGCAAAGTTGGAACTCGCCCGAAGATGCGCTAGCGAAACGATTGAATGTGGTGGATGCTGAAACGCCTGCGCTGCTGCTGAATGGCGATGCTAAAAAGCCAGTAGTAATCAAGGAAAACGGCAAGCAATAGGCCGACGCTCAATGGCGGAGATTGTTGGCCCTTGTACTGTTTAAGTAGTAGTTGTAGTTCAGTAAGCACACAGAAGACCTCCTAGTTGATAATTTGTAGGCTTATGTATTAAGGCTCTTATGAATGATTCCTGTTGTGCGTGTAACGCGACATGTTGTGATAGTTAGATAGATGTTGCAACTGTATGCGTTGCAGGCATTCTGCGATAATGTAATTTATATATATTTTTTGTTTATAAGTAAAATAGACAATAAGTATTTTATAGTAAAAAGTGCGGGTAGGGAACAAAAACAGTTAAAAATGGCTGCCCTGCACGCTTGTACATATGTAAGGAGTAAATATGTAAATAACTATGTAAATCAGTCACGAATGTTAGATGGCCAGTTAAGCACAATTAGTAAACTTATTAAATTTTTATGCATGTACGTTAAATAAGACACAGACGAGCTTCCAAATACCTAGACAAAATTTCGATATTATATTTTTAATGGAAAAGTATGTAGATAAGAAATAAAAAAAAAAACCAAAACAAGAAAATATTTTAATGTAATTAAAACTAAATAATGCATAAGACATTTTTTTAATTAAATTGTACACAGTATTTGTTTATAATGAATTTAATAATTTGAATTTATTCGGTGAAATTCGTTGAACAAGTGGCGCATGTTGACGAAAGTGTTGAGCGAATGAGTACCGTAATATTTACCTAGAACTGATAATATTGTTTATATTTTCACTAATTGCAACTACTGTTAGCAATAATAGAAATGCATTACATCACATAGTTTGCAATTGCTGTTGATTATTCTTAATTCAGCTATTCGCTTAAAAAATAACAACTTTAACTTTGTTTTTTTTTTACTATTTGAAAAGTATGGTTTTCGTATTATTTTTCAGCTTATGCAATACATATTATGTAGTTGCGCAAACGTCGCACTTGAAACACTTGTATCAAGAAAACTAAAACTTATTTCAGTGACGAATATCATAAGCGGTACTGAGCTTTCTAAATGCCCTTCGAGTCAATTGCCACGTGAATGGAATACGCGAGGTGGCTTTTTGCAGGACCCCTTATCGCGCTTATGTGAAGCTACACAGTGTTACCATGGATCAAGTTTATATAAACGATCTATTAAACAGTCCCTAAACTCGAGTGCTTTGAGGCCGTACGTATGCATCTAGCTGCTCTAAGAGTGTTTCTGCAGCAAAAATAAAATGTCGTAAAAAATGTTGCTTACGTCTTTTTGACGGTTAGGGGTCGATAGTTTGCAACAAGTTATAGGCATCGTACGTCCAGTTTATGCAGTTTGTTTTAGATTAAATGCACACTTAATTTTAGCTTGTTATATTAGAGTAAGTTGTGTATTTGTTAAATTTTTCTAAGCTGCAATAATTTATTTTTTATCGTTGATATAAAATGCACAAATTTTATTTATAATCACTTAGTTGTAATAATAAAAGAATTTTAAAAAAATAAAATAAAATATACCTACCTATCGAAAAAAGAATATTAGCCGAATCGGAATTGAGAACTAGAAAAAAATCAATAAAATTAAAATTATTGGGAAAAAGATAAAAGCTTGCCTTTTTGCATACTTATTTAATTCTTCTTATTCTTATTGTTGGGGTTATTTTTATTGAAAGCGGTTACTTAAAGTGTAGGGCGTAGCCAGAAACGTATCAAGCTAAAGCATTAGTCTCTTTTATTTCGAAATTATAATTGATGGAACTTAATTAGTTGCGTAAATAAGGCATTTCCATAAGTTATAGTTTAGAAATAAAATGGACACACTCGTAGTGCACATTGCGGAGCATTGAAGCTAATCAGGTCGAGTAGTTTCGGGTAAATAATGCGACCAGCAAAGATTTCATAACCCAACAACAGCGATTGAATGGATCTTCTCGATTAAAGTGACTTCATCCCTAAAAGTATACAACGGGCACTATAAATGATCCGAGATGGTTGAATCGCCCCGGTCTATGAATTTTTAAGGGACCCGAAATATCCCTGCAGCAAATCAAACTGGTTCTGAACTAGCGCCGAACTAGCTTGAAAAGGGACGGTACTGATTCTTCATCTATCCCAAATCAATGCTTTCAACTGTCTCTTTTAAGATGACGATGTCTTAAGAAGTGGTAACTTCTGAACTGGTTCCATTTTGGACAGATATGGGACAATAAGTTTTTTATGAGAAAAAGTTTGATTATTAGATTTTTTGATATTTTTTCGTTTAACAGGTTTTTTTTTATTTCTTTTAGAGATTGCCTATTAAGCTAGCATTTCAGGGTACTATTTTATATATATATAAGGGAAATTTGAAAGTTAGGGGGGCGGCTCGAGCACCCCCCTGCCCCTACCTGGCTACGCCCATGACTATAACATATATCTATCTCCCATACAACTGATTGTTCAGATATGAGATTATTCGTATAACTCCTCCATTTATGCAGCTAGGAACAAGAAATTTTGCAATATTTTCGCTAATTACCAACAGAAAGTTAACAATAAATTAACAAAGAGCGGGTCACTGTAAACTATTTATATCCGCCATACAACTGATTGTTCAGATATAGGGTTTTACTGTAATACTCCTTTTTTGGACTGCTAAAACAGATTAATTTCGTAAGCTTTTCTATAAATAATAATACAATGTCTACTGAGAAAATCGTCAAAGTCTATGCTGTATAAGCTTTATCTCCTATACTACTGATTGTTCAGATACCAGTTTTTGCGATATATCTCTTTTATGTAGGAAGCTAAACCCATTAAATTGTATTACCGGTTTACATACCGATCACACAGCAGTGAAAATCACTTAGATTGGTGCTATATATTGTATATCTTCCACACCTCTGATTGTTAAGATATGGTTTTCATAAATATATGTATCTCCTCTATCTATGCCTGTTGTGAATATATACATTTTTTCAAATGCAGTAATCTGTTAAAGTAAAATTTTCAGATTTTCATGAAAGGTATGAAGCCTTCGGCATAGCCAAAGACAGCGCTGCTCTTACTTGTTTTTTAGTTTATTTAATGCTTATTATTTTATTATGAAAATATAGCTGATTACTCAACAAAGATTATTCAATTATTAAAATTCTGCAAAATTTCATCACAATTTATAACTTTTTAATCAGCATCTTTACAAAATAATATGGGTGCAGTTTTGTAGTCGATAAATATTTAATATAATATGGTGAAAATTTCAAGTAGCCAGGATATACATTTGATTTTTGTAATTTTTTTAAAACGATGTTACGATTTTTTTTATACAAACAAAGTATGTTCTAAAATTTTTTGGAAAAAAATTTGGAACACCTTCAACAAAAAATTACCAAAAATCAACGGTAAGTGGAAGCTACCTTAAATTTGCACTATACTGTACTAAAATTTTAATTAAAAAAAATCAGAATTTTGAGAAAATATGAAATTTTGTTTTAAATGGTGTTTGTAAGTAATCAGCTATACTTTAATAAAAAAGAATAAGTTAAATGACGCGTCCCCGTTCATATTTGGGTCACTTAGTATATATTCACATAAAATAAAAATCATTGAAATCGGCCCAGTATTTTAGGGCTTTTTGGATTAGAGAAAATTTTTTCAATTTTATATACTTAACACAGTCCGACATGAAAATGTTTTCCGAGAAAAAGCTAGCAGTTTCTAATAGATTTTTGGTCGCCAATTTTGTCAAATTGGAAACTGAATTGAATTTTAATAAAATACGGCGAATAGCGAAATCGGCTAAAACGGCTAAATTTTTTTTTTTCTAAACGGCTAACAAATCGACTGCCGGCTAAATCGAATTCTCTCTGGCTGTTTGCTATCGCAACTAGCTAAATCTAGCCGGAAAACGATTAAACTGGTCACACTGGCTGGGAGCATGAATCGCCCTTAGACCTTTAGTTTGAGCTGAATTTGTTATATTTTTTACGACTATTCAAAAAAGCAGCAACATCTCCTAACTGTAAAATTAATATCTAATGAACTTTTTGAAAAAAGATAATAATCAAAATCGGGTTGGATTCGAAGAGTAGGCAGCTTTTTTGATACAAAAGTACTTTTCCCACTATGTGCCAGTGGATAGATAATGTGCTCAAATAAGACACATTAAAATGGAAAATCAAATTTCGTTATGTTTCAGATGTTAAGCGGTCGGACAGAAAGGTACTTAGTTCACAAGATCACAAGAGACTGCATTGTAGATTTAAACTATCACATAGTTCATGAAATTTCGTTTCTGGTTTTTGCTTTCCTTTGATAGAAATTATAGAAAAAATTAAGCAAAACGAAGAGAATTTCAACATTTGAACAGTCAGGAAAAATTAATAAATTTTGCTTACATCTAAGCGAAACGGCAACGCTGGACAAGCTGCAAATTAGAAAATGAGAATAAGATTCTTAACGTCGCTTGAACGAAAATTTTTGAATTTAAAGAAAAAAGAATAAATTTGAACGTCGAGCAAAAAACATTGATTATACATAATGTAATACAATTTTTCATGCATACATTCATGCATGCATTTTTTTTGTGGGGAATTTCAGTTTACGTGGGGAATCGGGGGATGAACTGTTTTTTTTTTTGAGGAATTAGATGTTAACTAATTTTTTCATAATTTCATAATAAGTTAAAAAAGTTGCATAAGAAATGCAACTGCAACTAAAAGTACTGATTATGCGACCCTGGAAATTTTGTAAATTACCGTTGATTTTTTAGAAATTTCTTTGTCGCATTTCCATTCATACAACGAAGAAACACAATTTATTTTTATGTAGAAGAAAACCGCCTTTGGGAAAAATATTCTAAAACGAAAGGCCCGTAGTCATAGTCAAAATAAAGTCGACTTTAAAGTTAGTTGCAGCTTTTTTGACAGATATCCCATTGAAAATAATGTCAAAAAGCTGCAACTAACTTTAAAGTCGACTTTATTTTGACTATGACTACGGGCCAAAATGTTTAACCACTTGAAACGTGCACCTTAGAAAATCAAATTAAAAAGCTCGAAATTTTTACGAAAGTTTTTTGATCTCTTATTTTTTTTAATATTGCACAAAGTTTGAAACTTGCATTTATATGAGTTTTGTTAAAGAATGAACTATATTAAAAAAATAACTCAAATTAAATAACAAAAAAAGAATAATTGTGAAAAAAACTGGTCAAAATTTGGGTCGACTAAATTTTTTTCGACCACTGTAAATATTATACATATATAATATTTTTTTTTTTTGTAAATAAGGAGATATCTATGGGTGCGGAAATTGGCGAAATTTCGGGCAAAATCGGGGAATTTCATTGCCGAAGTCGGGCAATTCCCAAAAATGTATTGGCTACCCTGGTATGTATAAACGCTTAAAAGAAACATGTGTTGAGTCAAATTGGGGTTTTGTTAATCCGGTTCTTGCGTAGGTATAAACAAGGTACATAATAAAGTATGTACTAATAACAGAATCTTTCACTCAAGGTCCAATAAAAATGTATAAAATATAAAATATTTTCTGGGACTCACCCGTTCTTTTGACCAAGTTAAAAGGCAATTGAGAAGCGTAGAAATGCGAGACCTCATCAGTAACATGTTTATGAACACAAGCACACATACATATGAACGATGGCCCTCGGCAAACCACGGCACCACTACAAAAACTTTACAAAACACATTTTGCACTTAAATACTTAATTTAAATCACAATTTAATAAAACTTTTCACTAGAACCGAAAAACGTGCATTAAACACTTGCCGAAGTTAAAATAGGACTGAGGAAACGGAATTGGACTTGGCACAAACACAGGGAGGAAGGAAATCAAATTTTAATTTATAATACATATTCAATTTAGTTATGACACAAACCGCATAAAAATAAATTCAAATTAATTTTCTATTTGTAAATCCCAGATAAGCATGTACTAACAAAAATATTTCACATGACTCACCCTTTCATTTGATCAAACATTTTTCATACACCCATGTCAAAATTATAAGCGCACCTTAAATTGATAAATTATAAAAACAATTTTTTTTTAGCCGACTTCAAACATAGGGGAAGGTTATCAACTCCTCGGAATATTTTTATTTTTTGTATGTATGTTACCGCATAACTTTGGATCAGTTTAATGGATTTCTATAAGTTTTTTTTAAGGAAAAGTAGTGCCTCCGAGGTGGTCCCATACTAATCCTGAAGAAATTAACGGTACTGTTTAATGTGTTTGTGACAATTGAAGATGGTTTTGTTTTTTGCTTAAACATTACTTGTTCTTATTTACTTTTGGAAAATTTTTGTTTATAAAAACACAGTTTATTTTTTAACGAAGGTGGTATAAATTTAAGTTTTAACTTTGTGAAAAATTTGAAAAAAATTCAACAATTTTTCATAAAAAAATTAATTTTCAGCTAGATATTTTGAGTATGCAGGTTTATACAGTATGCGAGCTTGGACTTAGTGTTGATTTTCTGCAAATTTTATTTTTTTTTTTGCTGAAGGTGTTTCTAATTTTCTTACATACCTATAAAAAAAAGCTCCTGGAACAAAAATCCATGCTCAGTACACCTGTAGCTCGTTTCTGTAACAATTCTCTACCAAGGCGAATTGAGATATGAATTCGCCGCCCTGTTCTCTACTGCTAATGAGTAGTAGAGACTGACGTATATTCTCTACTAGTAGAGAAATAATCGGTAGAGAAAAGTTACAGAAACGAGCTACAGGTATTGAGTAATGGAGCGGATATTATTAAAAGTGTACCGCTGCCGATAGACATGACATCGGAAGAGGCCTTGGAAGCCAGAAATAGAGATTTACGAAACTTTCGGCGTAAACGTACTTGCAAAAATTCGCGTTTAATTACTGTGGAGGCTTTCATGAACTCTTCAGATTAAGCCATAACAAGTTTGTGCAAAACTTCGTCAAATAACTCTGCCAAAGCACTTTTTATGACAGGAAAGCCCAAATTCTCTTTTTGGATTATCCCGAAGAATCAGAAAAATCCGATTCGGATTCGGAGAACTGACCCCAAGTATATGGTTTTTCAATATTCAATATTTATAAATAGCCAAAATAAAGTAAAAAAAAAAATAGTTACAATT